ATTTAGGTTTCTTAGTATCTCTTAAAAATAATTTCCAGAATTTCTTAATTACTTCTTATTATATAGTTTTATCTTATGACCATACAAGTAATATCATTCTTCGTAATCCTTAATTAGCAGCCTCATAATTATACTTTTATATATAAGAAAACAATTTAATAGAATGTATTACATCTGCTTAATTTTTACTTTAACATAATTATAAAACTTGAGTAATTACAGTTTTCATTCCTTCCAAAAATTTTTGATATTCTTCTAAATATTCTTAAATTTTAATCTTTTCTTATGCTGTTTTTTTAATAAATTTAATCGATTCATTAACATTATCTTATGTGATTTCTCCATTTTAAAATTGTTTATCTATTTCCTCAAAATCTTTATGGATATTTTATAATTCTTCTTTATTTTTACTTATTTGATCTTCTATCTCCTCTGAAGACCAGAAATTTTATCTTCCTTAACTCTGTACATATAAGAATCTATAATATCGTACAATAGATTTCAATAATTATAAAGAAGATTTTCTAACATAACCAGAGATATCTCTTAATCTGGAAGAAGAAATTGCGAAAATAGTTTATAAATGTTATTTTGGCACACAATTTGAATTTAACAATTAAGATAAACATTAAAGTACATTTGATCTACAAAAAGCAGTTTTATCCATATGACGATCTAAAAGCTATTTAATTAAGTTATTGGCATTTGCTAATTATAATTCATCACTATCTTAATCTTTTGACTCCTTAATTAGATATTCAATAACATTAGTTATTAATTCTGATAATCCATTTCTTATATGATAATTTTCATTATCATATAAACCAATAAAAGCAGAAAGTTATTGATAATATACTTTTGGCATGTCTTTTGATGTTTAAGATAATAACTCTCTAAGATTTTTAACTGCTAAACTTTCAGTTTGATTAGTTGATTTTTCAGTTATGTAATTTACAAGTAGAATAATTTGATCTACAGTGTACTATTTCAATTTATCATTCTTGCTGCATCCAAATAGAAATTTAGAAATATTTAAAACAACACTCTCTTATTCATACATCAAATGAACAATCCTGTTTTTAAGGTTTAAATCATATGACTACCACATTGCAATTGCTTAAACCAAAATATCAATCCATATTTCTCTTATTTAAGCATCCTTAATATCTATAGCCATTTTAACTAAATCAAATATGTATCTACTGCCTTCTCTACCAAAATCATTGAAAGCATTCAAATTAAATAATTATTACACTATCTTTAATGCCCTTCTTACTTATTAACCTTAGATTTGCTTCTATTACAATAAATTTAGTAATAAGAATAATGTCATTTTAAATGCCTAAAGATGATCAGGGTATAATTTTTGAATTTGAAATGATAGTATTTCAACCAATTATAATTATACTTTTTGATTTGGATGTGCATCTAAATGTCTAGAGTTAGTTCAAATGATTACTCAACTAAATAGTAGAGGAAATCAAAATATTATGGGTCTTCAATTAATGTTATAAGTTAATTGAAACCATCTTCAAATTAATTGATACGCATCAAAATTAGTCTTTCATCCATTTGGGCAACTTAATTCTTAGATTTTACTCTATAATTTTCTGAAAAATGGTTATCTCTCAATTCTGAATAGGTTCCAGGGAAATGAAAATTCATTTAATTTAAATATACAATATGGGGGGAAACTAATTAGAATAATAATAATAATTAAACATATATATAAAAAAATGTCAAATGAATTAACAAAAAATAAGTCGATAGGGCAATATATTTTTAGTATTTTCTTATATTTGATAATATTAAGGTAAGACTTTAGGATAAGGTACTTTTGGAAAAGTTAAATTGGCTACTCATATTTTAACAGGAGAGAAAGTTGCAATAAAAATCCTAGAAAAGTAGAAAATAAGTGATTAATCTGATGTTGAACGTGTAACTAGAGAGATTCAAATACTTAAGAGAGTTCGTCATCCAAATTTAGTCTAATTATATGAGGTAATATTTTTGAGTTCTTACCAGATAATAGAGACACCTAAATAGCTGTTTCTAGTTATGGAATATGTTAATGGAGGGGAGCTCTTTGATTATATAGTCTAAAACCAACGTATTAAAGATGTTGAAGCAATCAGATTTTACAGTTAATTAATTTCAGGAATTGAATATCTTCATAAACTACAAATAGTTCATAGGGATCTCAAGCCTGAAAATCTAATTCTTGAAGGGAGAGGCAAAATCAAAATAATAGATTTTGGCTTATCTAATTTTTATCATCAAGATGAATTATTAAAGACAGCATGTGGTTCACCTTGTTATGCTGCTCCAGAAATGATAGCAGGTAAAAAATATAATGGACTTCATGTTGATATATGGAGCTCTGGTGTAATCTTATTTGCAATGTTGGCAGGATATCTTCCTTTTGAAGATCCAAATACTTCTTAGTTATATAAGAAAATAATATCAGGAGAATTTAAATTCCCTAAATATATTTCAGCAGAGGCAAAGGATTTAATTAAGAATATATTGAATGTTGATCCATAAAAAAGGTATACAATTGCAGAAATTCGTAAACACAGCTGGTTTAGTTTTTGTATAAATTCAATTTTATAAAGTTTTATTAAGACAATTAAAAAATACCAACTGGCCTCATTGTAGGTTAACATAGAATTCCAATTGACCCAGAAATAATTAAATAGATGATTCCATTAGGAATTTCTAGCGAATATGCTGAAAAATGTATTGAAACAAATCGGCACAATCATGTAACTACTACTTATTATCTTTTATTGAAAAAGCATATTGTGGCTGGAAATAAATCAATAGCAGGTAATTGTGGAATATATTCAATTATTAGACATAAACTCTGAATAATTTGAAGCTCAAAGAATATCTACTAGATAATCTACTTATACTGATAGAAAGTAAATTAATTTAATAAATCCTTTGCCATTAATATAAAGAAAATGTATGTGTTTATTTAATAATAATTAAGCTAGACATACTTAATAAAGAGAAGATTCTCCTGTTGATACAAAACCAAGATTAAACAATTCTGTCAATACTCAAAACACAATATAATAATAATAATAATCCCCTACAGTATTAAATCAATCTGTAGATGTGAGGAGAAAAATTACTTTAGATTTTTAGAAAACAACACTTTTGGAATCAAGTTTATTATAATAATCTAATGATGTTAAAGTTTTGAAATTGAAGACACCAGTTTGTAGGAATTATATATTAGCTGAGTATTATGGTAGATTTCCAAAAAGATCTAGAAATTAAGAGAGACAAAAATCAATGGAATAAGAATAAACATACTTTCGAACATTTTATAAGGGAAGTCCTATTCCAAAAAGATGAGCTGTTATTATATTAATCTATTTTTTTCTTATTATTTATAAAATGGCATTATTAGGTAAAACTTTAAAAGGACGTACTACAAAGCCTGGAGGTACAGAGTAGAAAAGAAATATAAAAATAAGACAGATAACTAAATCTTAACAAGAATTTGAAGAGAGTTAAAAGTAGGCTTAAGTAATTTTATGTTATTGATATAGTTTAAAAAAGAGTAACTGAGAAGTAAAATTAGAGAGGAGTAAAAGATTGTTAATTTCAATACAAAGAAACTAATGGCTTATTGGAGAAGAACAATGAGAGCTGTAAAAACAGAATAATTGAAACAAGATATTGAATTATATTCTTAGAACAATAAAAGGGAATTAGATTCAAAAGAAGCTTTCATTCAAATGCTTGATAAGAATTTAGATGAAGCTGAAGATCAATATTAAATTGCATTAAGGAACCATCTTATTCATTTAGAGAATTTTCATTTATTATAAGAGAGTAGAAATAGGGCATTGTTGGAAGAATTTGAAAGAGATATCAAAATACTTTAAGAAGAATTTTAATTAGAATTTGATGATATGACAAAGACTCATAAATAATAAGTTAAAGAATTGGAAGATATGATTAAAACAGTAGAAGAGGAAGAGAAAAGAAAGGCAGAATTAGCTAAGAATTAACATTAAACCAATAGAGAGGAAACAAAGAATAAGGATGTAGAAGATACAAGTTAGATGAAATAATAATTAGAAGATAAACAAACTAAATTTTATAATGATTTAGAATAGATGCATTAAAAATATCAATCTGATACTGCAAAGAAAACTGAAGATCATACTAAATATTATGATGCTAATAAAGATATGTCAAAAAAGATAGAAAGATTGGTTAGATCTATAGCTAGTAAAAAAGCAAAGATTGATTTAACTAAATATAAAATTTTATAACATACTAAAGAATGCAATGCTAGAAATTAAGCTTTAAAAAAAGAAAAAGAAAATATTGCCAAAAATTATTAAGATTTAAAATTGAAAATGAATAAATTTAGAGAAGAATAATAAAGATTATTGAAAGAATTAGTAAATAATAGTAGAAATGCTGTTTTAAAATTAACAGAATATAAAGAATTAGGAGAAAAAATATTAAAAACAGCTGAACTTTGTAGGAGATTAGAAACTGAAAGAGAGAAAGTATTACCATTTTATGAAGATACAGTTGATATGGATTAAATTCCAGAAAATTTAAAGAATGATTTTGAAGTAATAGAAAAGGAATAATATGAAGAATTTGCTTATTTAAATAATTTCTATAAGAGATACAATAAAGTATATAAAATTATATTATATATTAGGTTTTATTGGATATATTGGCAATTTAAAAATAAAAAGAAGCTTTATAAAATGAGAGTAATTAATTATAATCATTATTGAAATAATATTTGGATGGATTATCATGTAATGATGATGTATTATCAAATCCAAATCCATTATTTGTTAAAAACTTTAATATTGATTTAGGAGAAAAGTAAGTGACTGGAGATTTGTAGTAAACAGTTATAGAAGGTGTATTTAATGTAAGAAGCACTTAAATGTAATTATAAGGATAAAGAGTGGGACCATTTTAATGAAAATATAATTATTAATAATATATATATGAATTAAAAATTAGACATCTTAAAATAATTCAAAATTCCTCGTTCTATAAGTACAACGAATTAGAAAGCTACATTGAAGAAATTAAACAATTAATCAATGTAAACAATTGTTGATAAATTGCCTCCAATTCATCCTTAACCTTTACAACGTATACAGACAGAATAATAAGATGAATAGTAATGTGTCAAATACGTAACTGCCAAGTTTGATTAATTATCAAATATTATAGAACTTTAGCAGGGTAAACAAATAGAAAGAGATTGAAGATAAATTAAGATAGTTTAATAGTAAAAAAGTACTTATGTAATTAAATTGATTGGCATTTGTTTGGAGTGTTTGATGGTCATGGATAAAATGGACATTTTGTTTCAAGATTAATATCATAATAGATACCTAAAATATTAGAAAATAAATTACTTGAAAATAGAACCAGCAATGCTAATGATATAAAATAAATTTTAATAAATACTTATTAACAAATCGAAAATGATTTAGTAAAAATATAATTTAATTTAGGTAGATAATTCAAATATTGCATGTAATTTTAGTGGATCAACAGCAATTATAACATATTTGATGGGTTAAAAAATATATTGTGCAAATGTAGGTGATTCTAGAGCAGTGTTCTTTTATAGATCAGGTGATTCATGGTTTAATAGAGCATTATCATTTGATCATAAACCTAATAAATCTATAGAATTAAAGAGAATTTTAAGTTAAGGAGGAAGAGTGGAATAAAGTTTTTTTGATGGTAAAAGATAAGGTGCATATAGAGTTTGGTTGCCACATGATGATGTACCAGGATTAGCAATGTCAAGATCAATTGGTGATTTAGTAGCAAAACAAGTAGGAGTAATAGCAGAACCTGAAATATTAAGATATAAAATACCAAATAATGGCTTTATTTTGATTGGAAGTGATGGTTTATGGGACAAAATGGATTATGAAAGTATTTAAAAGATACTTCATAATTATTATCCTCCATTAAATTAAATTGATGTTGAGTCTGCTATTTAAAGAATACTAGGAGAAACTTATACAAAATGGGATCAATTAGATGCAGCTAGAGATGATATTACAATTATACTCATATATGTAGAAATTTGATTATTTTTTTTAAATATAATGATATTTTTATGAAAGCCAATCTGTCAAAAGAATTTAAGGTACAAATAGTTTTTAATAATGATATTTTAAATGAATTAGATGCTGAAAGACCTTAAGAAGAAATGATAAATAGATATTGTAATCTAGTTGAAAGCAATAAGATTAAATTAAAAGCATCAATGGTTATGGAAAAAAGGGTCGTGGTAGACCTCCTAAATTGAAATCCCCTATTAAAGATAAATAAATAGAGGATGAAATTTCTAATAATGAAGATGATGTACCTGATGATGAATTAAAAAAACAAATGGATCTTGAAAATGATAGTAATTTATCTGTTTCTTCAAAAGAAAAGAAATTTACTAAAAAGATAAATGCATATGTATAGTTTGGGTAATTTGGATGGAAGTGAATTTTTATAATTAACTTCAAAAAAATAAAAATCAAAAAAAGACTTAGCTTTAGAAGAGGAAATAATATCAAAAAGTTAAAAAGAATTATAAAGAAAAGAAAAATTATAAAAATAATAAGAAGAACAAAAAATAAATGACTGTTGATAAAATATTAATTGAAATAGGAAGAAAATAAAAGTAGAGATAATAATAAGAAGATAAAAAAACAGAAGATACTCATAAATATAGATCTCTACCACCAGATGATCTTATAATCAAATAATGAAGGTACATTTATCATAATGCCAAAATATATGAATTCATCATTACCTAATCCATAAAAAATGATAGTTGAGGATGATTAATATTACTCAAATTGTTCTAATCTAACTAGATATAGTATTCCAAAAATATAATTGAAAGCTTTGTAATCTTGAATCTTATAAATTTTAAAAACAATAATGATCAATTTTTTTTTTTGTTTATCAATCTCCTTTTACTTTTTTGTTTCTTTATTCATTCTCTTTCTTTTCATCCTCACTTTCTAATTTCATCTTGTCTTTTTCTTCTTTCTTTTAAATTGTTCTAAATTTTAACATTTCTCTAACTCCTTCAGATACCAAAATAACATAAAACACATATGAAACAAAAACTTAAAAGAATGTAAAATTTGGATTTCCTGTAAAAGAATGTGTCCATGTTAATTGTAATCCACCTCCTAAAAATAATATTAAGCATCCTGCATGAATAATAACTATTGTTGGTAATGAATTAAATAGCCAATCATATCTTTAGAATAAAAGTATAAATATTATCACTAGATCTGATATGGCAATATATTGAAAATATAAGAAACTACACTAATATATTAAATATCAATTATTACAAACAAAGAAACTCCAATCATAAATCCAAGATACTCTTTCTCTCTTTTAGCGTATTTCACAAATAAATTATATAATGGTAAAATATAACAAGAAGGCAACAACATAAAAAAAGCATGATATAAACACTTATATTTTGAAAATAACTAAAATATTTTATCATATATACTCCTGAAAATAATGCCCATAAAAATCCTATTGTTGGTCTATGATCTTTAGGAAAATAATAATCAATATAAGTTTTTTCTATAAATTACCAATCCCCTGTTATTAAATATGAAATATATAATAATAAACAAATAGTTGCCATGCACACAAATAGAAATACTATTAATTTAATAGCAAATTTTAAAGTTGTTGAAGATTCCCTTCTAAAGATTACAGATATTACAGCTAACAAAATAAAATATTATGGGTTTAAATATAATAAAATTCCAAATAAAATAGGGGATAGAATTTTTATTTTAAGTGCTGAAAATATTGTCAATAATAAAAATATATGATCGAATACATTTGTATTCTTTAAAATTATATTTGCAAACTAAAATATTAATCATTTTTTACTATTATTGGATTCAAATGATAAAATAACAAAATTGATTTCCTATATCCTTATTTTTCACCAAATAATTGCACAATTAAAAAGCATACTAAAATATCAGCTATCAGAAATATAATGTCATTATCAATTAAAACTAATCCATAAACAATCAAGGGTTTCTAAAATATTCCATCCGTACTATATGGATTATAGTTATTAGCTAATAAATATTTTGCTTCTCTAATATTATTATATTATGTGTATGGATTTGAGAAATAAGGTAGCCAAGTCAAATCTACATCCCATTTTCCTAGAAGCCAAAGCAAACATTTTAATGTTAAAATAATTCTATACATTAATATTTAATCATTAATTTTTACTAACTTCTAATTTTCCTTTCTTATATTAATATTATCATTTATTATAGTTTCTCATTAAAGTTAACATTATTTTCACTATTCAATTTCTGATAATATATATAAGTATATAAATTGTTGATCAAATTAAAAAAATATATAATTTTGTATAGGTATATTGATCAATAAGTATTTTGCAACTTTCATCTTGATTATAAATTGAATTTTTTTATATTTTAAGCATCTGTTTTACTTTAATAGTATTTTTATAAATTTTAATCTATTAACAAATATTTCATTAACTCAATTGAATTTTTTTTTATATCATTGTTTTTCTTAATAAGTAATTGAATAAAGTTTAAATTACTAACATTTTCTGAATGTTTTTATCAAAACAAAAATACCAATACTTAAATTTCTATTTAATTCTATTTATTATATTATTCTTATTAATTATTCTCATCCTAATATTAGGTATTTATAAAGTTATCATTTCTATATTATTTGTTACTTATATTCTTAAAAAAAAAAATAAAAATTCAATTCAGAAATTAAAATTTTATGTAACTTTTTTTATTATATATCAGATAGATAGTCTTATAATCCATAGTTATTCTATGCTTGATGGTTACTCTTTGTCACTTAATTTTCATTATTTTATTTAAATAGACTTTGAAATAGAAAAAGAGAATCGTAAGATGAGCAAAGATTGGTTACTTTAGAAATCACTTTTTATGTTTATTACACAATTTTAATTGTTATTACAATTTATAGATATTTACTAATATATTATCTATTCTTCTCTAAATAACTAAAATAATTTGATAAAATCTTTTGACTCTATCATTATACATCTATATTATAGTATATTTTGACATAATTGTTCAACAAGCAATATTAATAATATTAAATAAATAAAGAATCATTATAAAAATTTAACTCTTTTTCCAAGACTAGATGATTTTTTTTGTCGAGTCATTAATCTTCTCAATTCAACAAATTAGTCTTCAACATTATATTCCTATTTTTGATTTAATTTTACCATAATCTATTTATAGCGCTCTTAAATGCTAGGCTTCTTATGTTTTAAGATAAAAGATCGATTAGGATTTTAAGGAATGAATTATCGAATAGGTAGAGTTTATAAGCTCTTTTAATTGATTGGTTCAGTTTATTATTAAGCAATGATTTAAGGTCTGATTCTACATGAGATAGTATGGGCTATTTCTCTTTTAGGAGATTGTTGTTTTGGTAAAAGCTTGTAATAATTTAATTTAGGTTTCAAAGGTTTTAAGTAATATTCAAGAGAATTCTCCATCAATTCATATTATGAATAATCTATGTTTATTCTCCTTAATTTTTGACCAACACTCTCTGAAACTCTCATTTTATAAATTATTATATAAATTATGTTAACATAAAGCTTATAGAACAAGTTTGATTTTAAAACCAGATAAACTTCGCAAATAGGTATTTATACTCTACTACACAATTAATTCATAAATCTTTATAATTCAACCAAATTATTGATTATTGTTATTTTAGATTTTAGTTCGTTAAAACCACCAAGACATCCTTAAGGAGAAAATTAAATAGAATAACATAGGTAAATAAATTGAAATAGTATAGAATCTAGAAGCCTCTTCTATAAAAACGATATAAAATTACATCAAATGAGACAGAATAGAGAAATCATAAAATATCATTACCATCATTAGCTAATTTTAGAAAAACAGAATTTAATTCAATAGAGAATAGTAATTATTGAATTAAATTAGTTGTATAACCTATATCTATTCTAAATTAAGAAAATGGATTAAGAATTCCAAATCGATTACCTAAATTAGAAAATAGAAATGAAATATCAAAATCTAAATATGAAATGTAATTGAATCAAGCTCCAAAAGATGAAGAATAGTAAAAACCTAAAACAAAATAAAAGAAAACTTCATATACACCTGAATAAAGAATATCTGAAAGTCCTGAAAAGAATATCTCTTAATAAAGTAAAAAGAAAAAAGGATAAAAATAATTTAAAGGAATGAAATTTATTCATAATACAAAAGCTGGTTGTTAGGTTAATAAATAAATAAAGACAAATCAAGATGCAGCCATCATATTTCCATAAAATATTTAGAGGTACAAATGAGCAGTAATTTAAGTAAAGTTAAAATTATGGATTAATTGGAATTTGTGATGGACATGGAGTGAATGGACATTTAGTTTCAGATATTATTAGATAAAGATTACCAAGTATATGAAGTAACTCAAATTAGTCTATTTGGAGTTCTAATTATAATCGCAAAATCCAGATATGGAAGAATGCTTTAAAAATGCTTTTGAATTAACAAATTCAGAAATTCTTTAAAGTTAATTTGATACAGCATTATCTGGATCTACTACAGTGTTAGCTATGATCCAATAAAATTAGTTATGGACAGCTAATGTTGGAGATTCAAGAGCTATATTGTGTAGAAATTCTAATGGTTGGAGATCAATACCATTAACTAGAGATCATAAACCATCAGATGAATCTGAAAAGTAAAGAATTCTTTAAGCTGGTGGAAGGATTCATAGTTCAAGAGGTGATTTAATATAATCATAAATATTCTAGATTTCTATGGGAATGATGTTGGTCCAGAAAGAGTTTGGCTTTCTTATGTAGATGCTCCTGGTTTGGCAATGACTAGAAGTATGGGGGATAAAATAGGAGCATAAGCTGGAGTAAGTAGTATTCCTGAAGTATTTGAATTCACTTTATCATAAAATGATAAATTTCTAGTTATTGCTTCTGATGGAGTCTGGGAATATTTATCAAATGAAGATGTAAGAGTTTAATCATCTATTTATTATAGGTTATGAATATCATAGTTCCTTATTTTGAGGAAGGAGAACTTGAATAGGCAGGAGAGAAATTAATGATGGAAGCTATTAACTCTTGGAAGATGAATAGTCCTGGAAGAGATGATATAACTTTTATTATTGTATAATTAAATAATTGAATTTAGTAATTATGTGTGGTAAAATTAATTTATTAATTGTTTATTGACATGTCTTTACATTTCCAATATCTAGGTTAAGGATTGAGTAGCCAAAAAACTATGGAATTATTATAAAAGCATTGTTCATCTAAGTAAATTTGTTTGTTTTATATTAAGTGATCATAATAAAATTGCTGATTTTGGTGCTGTTTTTGATGAATTATTGGAATAACAAAAATACAAAGAATTAATTGTATCAACTCTTGATATTATTAATTTATCATAAGATAAAACTTGTATTTAGCAAATCATATTTTAGTATTACAACCTATTTATTCTGCAATTTAATATTGGATGACTAAGCTTGAGTCTAAGGAATAATAAATAATTATTGATTTGTTTCTAAAACATATCGAATAGATAAATGTAGAAGCCATTTTTAAAACTAAAATGTAACTCTGCATCACTATTCAAAAGTGTAGCACAATTATTTAATGCATTGAGTTCATCATCATTGTCATAGAATCTATTTTTGAAATTAATTGAATGTGCAAAGAAATGGAATACATAGTAATTAATTATATCTCCCATAATTTCAAATATTAAGGAATTCTTGAATTTATGGACTCTTAGTGATCCTGAGATCTTAAAAATATTAAATGCTATCTCTGAATTGATTGATCCTCAAGAGTATTATATAATATAATTAAATGTAGTTAACAATATGTTATACAAATTTCTGAATACATTTTAAGAAACATTAATACTTCTTAAGAATAATACATTAAGACATTTATTAACTTTTAAAACATTAATGTACTTTATAAATTATTAATATTTTAAGTAATCCTTTTTAAAGTTATGTGAAATTACTTAATGTTCAAATTATCAAATTATTGAAAAAACATAAGTGGCTTAACTTATAAAATTAGTGCTTAATGGTGATTTATCTGGAGTATAAGCTTTTCTAGTGAAAGAAGAAGTTTATTTCAAATAAATAAGTATGAATATAAGGTGAGATTAGATCTAAATGTTGAGCAATATTTGAATTAGACAAGGATTGCCAAATTTATTTAATTATCAAGTTAAAAATAGAGTTATTCATATTAAGAAATAGCAGAAGCTTTGAATGTATGAATTAATAATCTATTAATTATAGATTAAATTAGAAGAGGTAGAGATTTGGGTTATACATGCAATTCAATCTTAAAATGTATCAGCTTAAATTGATTAATCTTAATAAAGAATTTTCATTTTGTAATGAAATATAATATTTTAGAGATAACTTTAAAAAATTGTTAACTAAAGATGATTGGTAAAACTTGCATAAAAAATTATCAGCTTTATTAACTAAGCTTAAAAATGTTTAAACATAATGAGAATGGTATATTATAAATTTAATAATGTAATAATTTTCAAGATTTACTTTTCTATACTTCTTTTACCATTTTTAATTATTTACTATTTTAAAACATTCCTTAATCAACTTATTACAGTTATTAACCGCTTAAATCAAATTAAGCATTCAATCCCTCTTATTGATAATTGTTTACAAACATTTAATGCATTTATTTCATTCCAAAATTTGAGTAATTTTATCTTTTACTTGCATTTTTAGCTTAATCTATATCAATAATTGCTTAAGCAGATACTCCTGACATTTTTTAATCAGATAATATAAGTAATTTCATTGTTTCTAACATTTCTTCTGCTTCTTCATTTTTGGATAATTCACATTTCATCCTAGCTTATTTAATAGCTTCTGTGGATTAAACACGTAAGATTTCTCTAGTAACATCAGGATTAGGATCATTTTCACCAATTTATTCATCTTCATTATATAATTTTAGTTATAAAACTGAAACTTTTTAATATACTTTTTTTGAAAATGTATTTTTGAATGACAAACAAGCCTGAACAACTTAAGGAACTCTTTATTCATCAAGAATTTATTTTGTAAAAGGTGGTAGTACAATTTCAAAAACAAAATCTTTTCTAGAATCTGAAGCAATTTATGGTATATTAATTTTATAAGATCTATCTTATTCAATAAGTTTCCACATATCACCATATGTTTTTTATATTTTAATATCTTAATAGGGTGCTTAAGGAGCACATTTAATCTCAATTTAAACATTTTCTGCTAATGCAGAGGATAATCTACCTAAAGCATCTGCAAAGAATTCATCTAACAATTTCACATCTTCAATATAATAAAAACTTCCTTATCCTATTTTGCAAATACTTGACATTAAAGCAGCATCATGATCATTTCCATATCCAAATGAATGGATTGTAACTACATCTTCAATTTTATCCTTCTATCTTTTTATAACTGAAGCTGCCCCTGGATCTTAACCATCTGACAATAAAAATATGGAAGTCACTTAATTTTTCATTTTTCTTTATTAGATTTGCTAAAATGCAATTTTAGTTCCTGCTGCTATATTAGTTGATCCTCCAGCTGTGATAGCTACTATGGCGTTTTAAAAATATTTTTTATTCTCTTTTGTTAATGTCTTTAATGGAGTATGTCTTTGAGCTCCTCCATCAAATACTATTAAACATAATCTGTCCTTCTCACTAAGGAAATTTAATAATTAGATAACAGATTGTTGAACACTTCTAATTTTTTTTCCCTCCATACTTCCACTTTTATCAATAACACATAATAAATCAATACCAGCTTCAATTGATTAGTTATTTTTAGCATATTATTCAATATCTTTTGTTATGATACTTACCATAGCTGGTAATATTTATTTTTCTGATTTTTTTAGTTTACAATAATCATATTGTGCTTAAACTTTTAATTCAATCATTTCTTCAATATTTATTTGCAATTCATCTTATTTTTGATATTACTTTAATATATCATCATCATCATTAAAATTATTGGTGGGTTCATATTTAAATTATTATTGAGGATCATTTCCAAATAAATTATTAACATAATTCTAAACTTTTCCTAATTAACCTTAACTCTATTATTATTATTGAGGAACTTGTTATTAAATATTAAAAATGTCTTAATTAGCCCTATTATTATTGGATTGATATTACTAACTTAATGGAATTTATTAAATAAACTATTATTGTTGTTATTATTAAATTTATTGTTATTATTAAATTGGGATTTATTATCCATTTAGAGATTATACTAAATTTTTATTAGAGTTTAATAATTAAGTACTTTTTTAATCTTTGAATCCTGTCCTTTAAGAATTTGTAAGAGTAATTGGTACCATAGCTTTTGGTTCGTTTGGAATTAATACTTCATTAATTCCTTCTTATATTTATTATGATGAATTCTAATTATCAAACTAATATCTAAAAATTTATTTTTATAATACTATTATTCAGCATTAGTTAACAATTTTTATAAGGCTTATGCATTAAATTCAAATGCTTCATTGGAGCTACTCTAAAATAAATCGTTCTAATTATCCATTTGTTTTAAAAAAAATTAATTTATCTATTTGATATTAAATTATCTACTATCAATTTAAAGACAAGATCTAAGAATTATCTGAAAAATTCTGTCATCTTAAAATATAAATTTAAATAGTTAATGAATTTTATTTAGTATACATTTATCAATCATTAAAAGACATAAAAATGAGATTTCCCTAAAAATTTTAAACGAATTTCTAAGATGAATATGGTCTAATTATGATCTCTTTCTTTGCTCATGATTTTTTATAATGATTCATATATTTTTATCATAGCTTATTTAATATATTGTTTCAAAAGATGGTTTATTTATTAATAAAATTTAAAACAATTTTCCTTTCAAGTGTGTTAAATTGATTGAATTTTGATTTATTTAATTGTTTGAGATGAAATATATGAATTTCTGTTCTTCTTTATAATTTATTGTAATATTTATTCATGTATATTTTATTTCTATCTATCTTCCTTTTATAAGTATATTCATTTATAGCACTTATATTCTTTATCCAAAAAGGTAGAATAAAATGGTAATCGCATATTCTCATTAAATGAATATTAGCGAATTTTTGAGATAGCATATTTTTGCCATTTTTTGGAATGTAATCTGAATTAATTATTTTATTTTAGATAAATTTTGTTTTTACAAAATCAACTTCTAGAACTCAATCATCAAATTGATTTTTTGCTTTGCTTTGATATTTTAATTATTTTTTATGATATTAATTACACTTCTAGAAGCTATTGTTTTAATAAGTAATGGTTTTGCTATTCTAAATGAGAAGCGAGTTTTATCAAAATGTATTAAATCTGAGATCCTTTAGATGGTTTTGATAAAGTTGATTATACAAGAGCCCATGAAGGAGGGTCTTAACATATTAAAGGAATTATTGTCAATTGGTTGATGTTTGCAAGATCAATGAAAAGTATAAATGTCTTTAAAATAAAATAGTTTTCCTTATAATAGGTAATCTTATTGTTATTTTAATTGAGATTCTGTCATTTTGAATATATATAAGAAATAATAGCTATATATAATTTATTATATCAAATATATTATTTCATATTAATGTACCCTTTTATATTTTGTTCATTATTAATCTTCAAACAATCTTAACAAATTATTTATTTCATACTCTTAAAATTTACTATACTTATTATAATATTCTTATTGAAGATAATCAGAATGTTTTCCATTCCATTTTACTTCATATAATTACATACAATCAATAATACGATCCTAATTTATTATAGATAATGATTTCTTCTAGCAATAATCCTATAAATAATGCTATATGAAAATTTTCACTGTTTCAATTACTTAATCATCGAAAATTAATGTGTAATTTTACAATAAATTTTTAAAAATACTCCTAACTTAAGCTTAAGGGACTTTTAAATCAGGATCATAAACGAATTCTCTATTTCATTTATAAATTAATATGTACTTTTCAGAATAATCCTCAACTAAATATCTAGCTAATAATGTACTGCTTTTAATAGTAAAAGGATCTTCTTTTAGTTTTTTTTCAATTTCATTAATAGATATATCATTCTCATTAGAAAATAAGATCTAAAAATTCTATATAATTATAATACATTTTCAGCTTCTTGTAAAGTAATTCTTTTTTTTCTTAATGATAATTTAAGTTCAAGGACAATTTATTCGATTTATTATTTTCTCACTTATTTAACAATCAATTAGTCATTAGAAGTTGCTGTTGGAGACAGTGGAAGTTATGTTGCGGATTGAAAAAGTGAATCCTCACCATAAATAAAAGGGGATGTTTATATTTTTTTTTTCTAAAATTATGATAAATATCTAATAGAATTTATATTAATATTTACTTATCCATTTATTTCTGTTTTTCCAATATGGAATTATAATCTAATTAAAGTTTTTCCAATCTTTCAATTAAAATCCTTTTTTCATTCTCTAATATTTATATTTTATGTTTTGATTCTTGATTTAATTGTGTTAAAGCATTTTATGTTACTTATATCATTGTTTGACTTTAATCCAATTTATATGTAAGAAGTTGAATTTCATCTTTTTTGACATTAAGTTCATTCATCAATAAATTTTCATTTTTTGTTGGATTTCTCAAAAGATTCATTTCTGACAATGGATCTCTATCTCTGAATCTTTAAATTTATTATTCTTTTAATTTTAAAACTTATTATAATTAATTAAATTTAGCTTTAATTAGAATGTATTCAGATCGAGTTTTCTCTAAATCTATTATATATTATTTTTAAGATTCTAATTTATTTAATAAACTAACATTATCTTCAATTAATTCATATTAATCTCCTTCAAATTTAGAAGATAATTAATATTTGAGTAGCTAAGTTTATAAGTCTTAAATTTATCTTTTCAGTTCTACTTATACTTTATATTGAATGCTTTCCTTAAGTGTTTAAATTTCTTAATCTTATTATTTTATTTTTAGAAAACTTTATGAGAGCATCTTTCTTTAATCAGTTTAATCCATAATATTAATATTACTTTCTAGTTATGAAAGTACTCCTATCAATTATTGATTTTCAACTGATAATTTTTTGGATCTAAGTTTTTCATGATATAGCTATTCATATAATGTTTCTTTGTCAATGCATATATTTTTTGGAATTATAACTTTCTTAATTTTGGTTGAATTTGTATCATTGATAGAATTAAGAGTTTTAATCCTTCTTTAAGAATCATTTTTTAAGAAGTGTTAGAAATAATTATTTGTTATATGTTAGCTCATACAATTAATTTAATATTAAAATGAATTTTAATTAACAATAACGATTTCATAAGAAACCTTATTCTTAATATGATCTCCATACTGATAGGCCTTCCAAGATGCCTTCTTTTATGAAGTCATCAGAAATTGTTTCAAACTTTAAAGAGAATTAGGATCCTATTCAATATTCAAATATTTCTATAATTAAAGAAATTCAAGATATAGAAAAAATGTATTAAGACAAAATAGATTCTTTAAAAAAATTAAATGCAAAGTTAATGTCAACAATTGAATTTATGGAAAAAACACTTGAGCAATAAAAGAGTATGCTTTAAGAAAAATAACAAATTGTAATTATTTCATATTAATATAAATTAAGATTATGAAACAATAAAATGAACTTTCTTAATATCGTTAAATCCTATCATAAAATACTCAAGTTAATATTAAGAATTTAAAAACAGAAATTGAAGATGAAAAAATTAAAACAGAAAGATTACATTATGAATTAAAAGATTTTAAATATAAGTTTGAAAAAGAAAAACCATTGGTACATTTGTTTAAAAAGATTGAATAAACTTAAGAAGAATATAATTAATAAAATAAATTATTTATGAGAGAAGTCCTACAATTATTAGATAAACCTCGAAGTCAATCATTTTATCGATAACCCTCAAAATAACATATTAAGAAATCCTCGTTTTATAATTGATTCTATTTAACTATAATTAATTAAATTTTTTATTAATGAAATAGATTTAAAAGAGAAAAAATAAATCAAAGCAATAACAAAAGGTTAAGCTTGATTCATCTTAAATAATCAAGCTGATGAAAGCCTAAAAATAAAAATAAGAAAAGGGCTCTAAAAATCTTTGCAACCTAATTGGTATGAGCTTTATTAAAATTCCAATATATAAATTTTCACCAGAAATAAATCAGTATCTCTAAAAATACAATAAAGAAAGTAATTATGTATATTATTTTTCAAAGCAACTGTGAATTTTATATAATGTAATCTTACAACTCTAGAAGGACTCAATTTTGATGGCACTTAGGTTAAATATTTGAGAGTAGATTACAATAGTTTGAAAGGAGACTCATTATAATTTATTGCATAACATTTCCCTAATTTGATTACTTTAAATCTTAAACATAACTAAATAGCAAATTTAGAAGTATGTCTAATATATATTTTTAGGATTTAGTGCATTTAAAACATCTGAAAAATTTAGAAGATTTAAATCTATCATTTAATCCAGTTAAAAAGTATAAAGATTATAAAACAACTATTTTTTAACATTTACCATAATTATCAAATTTGGATAATGAAATGGATACTGATGATTCAATGGCAGACACAAGTGAAGATTTGATTGTAAAATTTTTCATATAAATAGTAGCTTTAAAGCTCAGAGGAGGAGGAAAGTGAAGCTAGCTTTGATGATTATGAGGAAAGCAGTGAAGAAGATAAAAAAAAAAAAAATAAAAGAAAAAAAGTTAAGAAATGATATTTATTAAATTTAAATTATTTAAGATAAGTTTAATGAAGCACCATATAATCTCAACTATTTTTTTATTGAAATAATGTTATTAATAATAAATAAACGATTAACTTTAATTTCAAAAACAGAAAAGTATTTATATATATGTTTTAAGTTAAATATAAGAATTCTCAATTTTATTCTTAAAAGTTCTATGAATTTTATTTTATTTTTTACATTTGATATTTCTTTACATTTAAATGAGATATGTTACTATAAATTATTAAATTTTTTTGATGATTTAAATTAGCCATAAAAATCTAAAAGTATATGTTTCTATTTTGAGGTTTCTTAATATAATAAGAATTTCTATATTTTTAAGAATCTCTAAATATTTTGAATATTAACTATATATAAACAGACATTTTTAATTGCAATTACTATTTCTTTACCTAATATAAAATGAGTATTGAAGACAAGGTATATATTGTTTAGAAAGAATAATCCTTTTGGCAATAATAATATAATTATAAATTAAATTTACAGAGTATTGTTAATGGGAATATGTGGAGGATAAGGGAATAAGAAAATTAATAAGCCAACTCTGGAATAAACAAAGGATTAGACAGGAACTACTTCAAATAATGAGAACCCAGGCTCTTCAAAGTAATCCAGGTTCGTCAAACAATTAACAGATTTCAAAGTCGATCCATCTATATTTGTTACTTTGAAGAAGGGAGATCTATTGAATTCTTACAAAATAGATTAGGTTTTAGGGGAAGGTATGAAAATCATATATATCTTATTAAGGAACTTATGGTAAAGTAAGTCTGGTGACTTAGAAAGTAACAGGACTTTAAAGAGCAATGAAATAGATTAGGAAGGATAAAATAGTTATTGAATAAAAGGATAATATGATATAGGAGGTGTCTATACTAAAAGAATTGGATCATCCTAATATAGTAAACATTTATGAATTGTATGAAGATGAAAGTTTTTTTTATATAATCACAGAGTAAGTAGTATCATTTCAATAGATTTTAAGATATTTGAGTGGAGGTGAATTATTCGAGAAAATCAATGAGATTGATCATTTCAATGAGACTATTGCTGCAGGATATATAAGAAAGATTTTAGAAGCTGTTAATTATTGTCATACTCGTAATATTGTACATAGGTATTAATTTAATATAATGATTATCAAAAGAGATCTTAAACCTGAAAATATTTTATTTGAATCCAAGAAAGCACATTCTAGTTTAAAAATTATTGATTTTGGAACAGCTAAATAAATTGATGATTCAAACAAATTATCTTAAAGAATAGGAACTGTATATATATTTTTAATTATCTTATATACAGCCATATTATATAGCCCCTGAAGTAATAAACAAGAGATATGATTAAAAATGCGATGTATGGTCTTGTGGTGTTATATTATTTATTATGCTTTGTGGTTATCCTCCTTTTAATGGATAAAATTAATAAGAATTATATTAAAGAATATAAAGTGGCATATTTTCATTTGATGGTATAATAATTGATTTGAAATTTAATAGAACCTGAATGGGAAGATATATCTGCAGATGCAAAAAATCTAATTAAGAAAATGTTGGTAATTGATCCTGAAAAAAGAATATCTGCATCTGAAGCATTAAAACATGATTGGATGATTATCAACCAGAAAGATAAGAAAATTAATTCAAAATCTTTAGAAAAACTTTCTAAATTTCATGTAAATAATATAATTTACATAAGAGTTAAAGTAAGTTGAAAGCAGCAATAATGCAATTAATAACAACTTAAATTATGTCTAATTAAGAGAAAAAGAAAATTTAAACATAATTTAAAAAAATTGATGTTAATAAAGATGGTACTTTGAGTAGAGAAGAATTACTTAAATGTTATAGAGAAATTTATGATGATGAAATGAAGTGTTAAGAAATAGTTGATAATCTATTTTAATAAGCTGATGTTAATGGATCTAATTAAATTGATTATACTGAATTTATTGTTGCATTTGCAAAAAAAGAATAATTAATGGCTTAAAATAAATTAGAGAAAGCATTTAGACTTTTTGATAAAGATGGAAATGGATATATTAGTAAATAAGAGTTATAAGAAATTATGGGAGGAGCATAATTAAGTGAAGTTGAATGGAATAATGTATTTAATGAATTAGATCTAAATGGAGATGGTATTGTAAATTTTTAAGAATTTACAGAAATGCTAATCAAAAATGCTAATGAATAAGAATGATATCATTTATTTTCTTATATTAATATACTCATTTGTATTAGTATTTAGACTTTCCGCCAAATTAGTTAAGGAGATTATCTAATTTTTACTATGAATTATTTGTAAGGATATAATCATTGGCTAAAGTTTAATCTCTAGTAGTAACAGGTTAATATTTGCTTAGAAATTCTAGTTTTTTTGGAGCTTATATCATTGAGTCTAATTAGATACCTTTATTAATAGTTGAATTCTTGTTCAAAGTGTTGACTAATATAAATATTTCTATATATTACTTGTATCCATTTATTTTTATTTTATTTACTGATTTTCAGTATTAATAGCTAATCTAGATTCAATTGTATTCAGCATTATTTTACTATCAGAATACTATTATAATCTTTTGATTTGTTGATCAATTCCATTATTTAATATATCAAAATGAGTTTTTCTTTATTATTATAATGAATATTATGTAGATTTCTGCAATAAATCCAATTATTTTTCATTATCAATATATTTCTTTCTTATTTTTTAATATTCATTCTATACTGATTCACTAACATTAGATTTATGTATTTAAGTAACTGATGTATCTGATATACTTGTTTTACTTTAAATTATAAATTATAATTTTTTACATTATTTTTCCATTCCAGTCAATTGGTATTTCATCTTATCTCTTATTTAATTCTTTTTCATATTAGAGTAACTATTTGATAAATCCATCATTAGGGTAAACCTACCATCTTTTCCTTTGTAATTATTACAAAGCTTATTTAGAAGTTATATTATGTTTTTTCATCAAATAAGCAGCAATAATTGAAGCACTTCTGGAAATACCTGCCATGCAATGAACTAATACATTTCCTGATAACCTAGTTTTTTCAATAAATTAAAAAGATGGATTAAAATATCGATAAATATTCTCATTCTCACTATCATCCAAAATAAAATGTTCATAATGTTTCATCTATGAACTAACAACATATGATATTTTAGAAACACAAACTGATAAAATAGATGTTATTTTATGTTTTTTAAGTAGACTAATGTCATCTTATTTATTATGTCTTGTTACTTGCACTTTCTATATTTCCCAAAAAAAGAGAACCCATATTACCGCAATCAATAATGCATGTAATATCTTCCATTATTCTACCTTAATTCTACATTTATTTCCGTTTTTCAGGAGATGATTGATACATTAAATAGTAGTTAACAATAATTAATAAATTCAACTAAAAATTAATACTAAAGGTGTTGTATAATTTTGATCAATTATTTTATTATGAATAATTTAATTTAGAAATTATCACATTAAAGCCTTCCTTTCAAGATTTCAGATGAATTTGCAACAATTATAATAGCTATTAAATACTTTTAAGTTTTGGCTATAATTCAACCAACTTATGATCGAATTCATGAACCTTCTCTATTGTTTACTACAAATATCTTAAAATCAATATTAATCATACCATATGCATCTAATTTTACTTTAATACTTTTATGTCTCATCTTATTAGTAATGAAAGAGCTTACTCTTGCAACATTTTGTATAATTGAAAACTCAACATCAAAAATAGTTAATAAGTATGGATTGAAACTTATCTTTTATGAAATATTATTCTTTCAATAGACAACAGCAATACCAGAATTATATCTTTTAATTGGATTGTTAAATTAAAATAATAAGAAGGTTGCTTTCTAATCATTTAAATTTGCATATATTGCACCAATTTGCATCTTTATAATTATAATTGTTACAATAATTGCATTCTTTAGAGTATACTTTTTAAGAGCTTAAAATATTATTTCAGATACTAAAATATTTCCTAAATTTACATATTTCACAATTTTAAGATTCTTTCTTAAAATTTGCATAATAATAATTTCATTTTAACCTTCATATGCTGCAAATTTACTCAAATTATGTTTAGGTTTTGGAGTTTTTATTGTTTGTCTAATTGAACTGTACATTGAAACAACATTTGAACCATCTATTAATAGATAATTAACAATTATTATAAGTTGTTTAAAATTAACTACATTTGTTTAATTAATTTGTTATTTATTTTCACCTAATAAAGAAGATTAAATGCAATCATTTTATATTTTATTTGGAATTCCTATCATTTTTATTATCACGAGAATCATTAATTAAAGAAAAAAATTGGATATATTGATTTATTAATCTTATAAATATCCAATAATCATTTAAATTGAGGAACTTTATGAATTTATGTCTAGATTGAATTCTAATAAACCATCCATTGAATTGATTATATAATAATTTCAAATATATAGTAGACATAGTGAACATTGCAAATCTTGTAATACAGAATATAATTATTCAATTCCAAAACTTATTTAATGCTTAATTTAAAACAAATTCAAAAAAAACAAAAAGTCTAAAGATTCTGAAAATTTGATGATATTATATGTTAATTTTTTATCAAACACAATGCATCAACCTTTAGTGGCATATGTTGAAGTTAAGAAATTTGAATTTAGAAAAAAACGCTTCTCAATTTATTACAAATTCATAAGAAATTAATTTGCATTGAAATTAAAGGAGAAAATAGAAGACAAACAATCTCATTCAACTGTGAAGTCTAATTTAACCTTTTCTCAATAAATAGAAATTAAAGAAATTATTTAAAGTTTCCATTTAGAAGATGAATATCTAAAAAAATATATATTACTTTTAAATTAAAAAATAAAGATTTGGTAATTGTAAATAAAGGGTGTTGAGAATATAGGTGAACTAATTTAAGTTGTGAGTCATTATGGATAAATGTTATAAAAAGTAATGGATCAATTTTTTTAAGATTTTCATCAAAGTTTGAATTTAAAGAAATGTGAATAGAAAAATGCTATCCATTTAAAACTTATGTCAATATTATATTCTTTGATATTGAACAACACAGATTAAGCATAAGTATATGAATAATAAATTGTTACTATTTGTGCAAATGAAAGTAATCTTCCTCTTGATACAATATGTAATGCTAGTCTCTTAGATGATAAAGTATGTTTATTAACTATAAGTATGGTCAAAAATAAAGGAAAGATTTTGAATTCAAATAAAAAACAATTGGCTAAACATTTTGGCTTTTCATGTGATGATTACCATTTAATATCACATATTAATGATTTAATGCCTCCATTTTTAATTGATGTCCATAATCATTTATTAGAACTTTATTTAGAGAGTGCATAATCATAACTTTTTAGACAATTCATATAAATTACAACAGTTTAATAGGATGGTTTATTACAAGCTAAATAATTGAAATTAGACAACAATTTTAGTTATGAAGATGATTATGTAATTACAGGATGTATTTCAAAAGTAAAGGAGGGGTCTGAATTCATTATATTTGATTCTAGTGGTAAAATTTTGAGTGCTACTGAATCTATATATCATATAATGATTTAAGGTATAGATTAAGAGGCTACTCATGCAATTTAAACATTAAATTAATGTTACATTTTTTTTTTTTTTCCTGAAATTTTAAAGATTTTTGCACATCATAAAATAACAAATAAAAGTTATCATAATCTTGAAATTGAAGATTAAACTACATTGATAACTAGATTTAATATATCAGATTTCATCATTAAATATTAAAAACTATATAGTTCAACTTCTCCTTATAAATATTTATAATTTGAACATAGAGGTAGTTAACATTTTTAGAAATCAAAGACAAGTGGTATTTAATCAGAATGTTAAAGTTCATTTAATAAAACTATACCAAAAGCAACATCGAAACCAGAATTATAAATTTTAACTATAACCTATTAAAAATAAATAGAAGACATTATGAAAAAAATAAATGAAGGTGGTGAAGCTACATATTCAATAAAATTTATACTCACTTACAAAGTTGTAGGTCCAGAATCTTTACATAAATCATTTTTTCTTATGGAAATTATTGATTTTAGAAGTAAGGAATAATTATTATCAAAAAGAAGAAAAGTTAGTGTAATGAAATTACATTAAAATTATATTCCAAATACATCATCTAGATTTAAATTAGATTCATTTCGTGATGACTCTAAAAGATTAGATTAATCATCTGAATAATTTATACAGTCTTTTGCATAAATTCATCATCAAGATGATCTATTAGATCATGATCATTATTCTTATAAATAAAAAGATTTTAGTGTAGATGAAAACTAATAATCAGAAGGATCTAAAACATCTCTTGATTCATCAAAATTAAATACTAATAAAGAATGTCATATTTTTATTAATTCTAAAAAAATAATAAAACCATTAAAAGTTGTAATTGCTTTGAGTTCATTAATTATGATAATTAAATTAATTTATCTAATTGCAAGTTTAATAATCATCTAAGATAGTACCAATTAAATTGTATAAAGTAATAAAAATATTAATGCTCCTCTTATTTTTAATAGATAATTTTTTCAATTCTTTTCACTTTAATGGATACTTCTCTTATAAAAATTATAAATTATTGATTGTAGCACTTATCTTCTAAATTAAACTGATTATAAGTTAACAAATATCTCAGAATCTACTTTCTAAGAATTAAATAAATTATATTCCTCTTTTATTGAAGTTGAAGACTCTGGTCTATTAGAAAATATTAATTATAGATCTGTTGGAGAAGATAGATAAATTGTTGGATATACTTACTTTATATTAAATTTAGAAAGAACAATAAAAGAGTTATTTTATTTTAATAAAGAGTTTCAAATTGAATATCATCATATTACTACTTTAATGACCTTAAGGATTAATTTATATAATGTATATTATATGAGTAAAACATTAATATCATCTTATGAAGAATTATATGGTAACACTTTAGATAATTAAAGTTTAAAAATTGTTGTAATAACATTTACTATCATTATTGTACTTCTCTTTAAAATAATAATATAGTTTTTCTTTTGGAATTAATGTTCAATATATTAAAGATAACTTATTTTTATGATAGGTAGATTAAAAGAAAAAGAAGCTAGACAGTAAATATTGAAATCATAGCAAATAAAAGAAATTTTAGAAAATAAAGAAAATATCTTTAATTGGAGATAAATAAATTATTCATCCTATGATTTTAATAATAATTAAAATAATGATATACGATCTTAAAGAGGATCTTAGTAAACTACTAAGATATAAAATAGATAACCAATTGTTTTAAATACAAGAATTTAAGACACATCTATGAATAGAAAAATAATAATATTAATACTATTTTTAACTTATATCACATTTATAGTTTTCATTATTTGTGGATATATTTTATTTAGAAAAGAAATCTAATAAATGATCCCTTTTTAAAAAATGACTTTATAATTTATCACTTTTTCAACTAACTTAGATGCAATGATTGGATCTGGTATGATAATTAAATCATTGCCTTCTATTTATGATAAATTAATTTAATAAAGAATAATTACTTAAGAAATGATTGAGAAACTCTAAGATGCAAATAATTAATTATTTTAATTATTTGAAGAAAGTGAAGTGAATTTTGATGCAAACTTAATTAGTATTTTTGAATAAATTACTCTTTCAAAATAAATTAGTGATGCTGATAAAAATACTTTAGAGAGCATATATAAATATGATATATGTTTAAAATTATTAGATGATGTACCATTTTGTAAATACCCTGAGGTAAATTAAACTTTTATTAATTTATACTCAAATCCAAATTAAGTAGATGATATTTCTAACTTCTATGAAAATGGTATAAAGGGAATTGCTAGTTAAATAAGTTCAATAATTAAATAATATTTTGATTATGAAATAAGTTAATAAAGGTATTTGTTTGATGTAGTTGGTAATGAATAGTTTATGAATTCTAAAGAATTTAACACAGCCTTTTTGTAACACTTTCTATTCACAACAAAGACAATTGATATTTTCATAAATATTATCCAATATAGCAACTAACATTTTGCTGAAGATAATTTAATTACAATATAATTGTATTATTGCATAACTGGATCAATAATAATTATATTGTATATGATAGTTTACACAAAATGGATTTAGATAAATTATTTTTAGTTTAGATTCTTAAAGTTTGGATTATCCCTTTTACCGTAAACCATTTAGAATGACCCTTACATTATGAATTCTATTAAATAACTTAGTTGATTTTTATTAAAATTGAATTCTTTTTTGAAATAATGATTCTTTAATCTCAACATATTATTAATAATAATTAGATTATTATGATAGTACATATTTAAATACCTAGATATTAATAAGTATTTATAAAAACAAAATCTAAAGATCTCACTTCTATTTCTTTAATTTCTAAATCATGTTCACTATAAACATAGTATTTCTAATTTATTAAATAATAATGAAAATATTTTGATAAGTTTATGAATCATAATCATTATACTGAATATATACTATAAACTCATCATTTTTTACCAGCAGCTTCTTTTGCAGCAGCTTCTTTTGCTTCTTTTGCAGCAGCTACTTCTTTTTATAATTCTTGATTTGCTTGTTTAACTTTCTTTTTAAGAGACTTTTCCTTTCTCTTTTTTTATTTCTTTTCTACTGTTACTTTTTTCTTTTAATATAACATTTCTCCTTCTAATGTTTCCTCACCTTCATCATCTGGTTTTCTATAGATCAATAAATCATCATCTTTTTTTGATCTTTAGAATTCAGCTTCTTCAAAGAATTTCTAATTAAGATAATTATGATATTCTTACATCATCTTCATCTCTAGCTAAAGTTACAACATTCCAATGGATTAGTTTTTTGTATCTTTCATGCAATAATATACCTTATGGGAATGTATTTTATAAATCTCCTAATTTATATGGTCTGTATGTTTTAATATTCTTAGCATCAACAAAGAATTTTGTAGGATAAGTAGCATTATATGAATTTATCCAAACTCCTTCAATATGTACATCATAATCAGTTCCCCTAACTAATGCTGGATTTGAGTTATTTGGTAATATAGCAATTGGTATGTACAATAGATTTGGTCTGCCTACTATGTATCTTCTCAAAGTTACTTTGAAAGGCCAACCACTTTCTATCAATTAAACTTATCATTGTTACTAGGATCTTTAATGATTTCACCCAAAGTACAACGAATATCTCCATCATGTCCAGGTACTCTGATATAAATTGGAGCAACATTTGCACAAATTCTTCTCTTAACTGCTGCCACTTAATAGTAATCTAAAACTATATCAATATCTTCAAATTCATCTCTTCCTTCAATCACAACTGCCACTTCATGTTTTTTCCATAGACCTATCACATGATCATCTAATGATCTAACTCTCTTAGCAGGTAAGACCACCTAAAAATATTTTATTGATAATAACTTTTTTAAAGTCTAATAAAAATTTGTCTGTGTATGCTTTCTTAAAACCTTTGACCATCTGATCTAAAAGTACATCATCAATATGTTTATTAGCTTATGGACCTCTACTTGATGTAAAAATAGGAATATTATATTAGGCTTTGGAACAAAATGCTCTAAATATTCTAAACCCCAAAAACATTTAATTTAATTATGAGTTTAGAAAATTGAATATTTATGTGCATATTTAAAAGTATTTATAAATATCAAACTAGTTAAAGTTAAAGGTTATAGAGAGAAAGTAGGTAGTCAAATATATTATAGAATTTTGTTGTAATTTACATAAATGAACCATTTAAGCAATTTTGATCTTGAATTCACTTATAGCAATTTTATAGCCTAATTCAAAACTATGAGACTAGAATGCCCTATTTTTACTTAATCATCTGGTTAACAAATACAAGATTTGTGATAGCAAAGATTGAATATGTCAATATATATGAAATTGCAAGAAAAGAAGGGAACTCAATTCAAATAAATTTCTTTAAGACACTCATACAAAAAATTATTCAATTTTCAATAAGTACAAAAGAAATATATGTAAATTATTGAAAGTGTGTGGTTATTTAAGAATCAAAAAACTTGAAATATTATTACTTATAAAATGCTCATGATAAGGAATTAACACAATTTACGTATTGAATTCATTAGGCTTACTTGCGAAAAGTAGTAAGGATAATTCAGTTGAATTCTCGTAATATAAGTTATTTCCAAGTATTTTATTGAATGCAGATTTTATTCCTTATAGAAAAGAATCCATCTCTTAATTAAAGGTTTATATAAGATAATAGTGAAAGGTACAAAATTAATAAATCTAATAAATACAATTTTAAATGAAATCTGAATCATAATAGTTTCCCTATTTTTCATATTAATATTTATCCAATTGTATACCGATTAGATTTGATTTTAAATGAGTACAATAATTATTGAATTTTTTAAATTAATTTATCCATCAACAACATTCTTATTACTATAATTTTTTATATTATTTTTTTGAACATAAATATGAATATTTAATAAGCAAAAAATTAAATTTAATAAAAAATAGCTGAGTACTTGAATGAGACTTCACTAAAAACTATTAAGGATTACTAGGAGGCTAAGAAAAATAAAAAATAATCTGATCCAATCATGTAAATAAAGAAATAAACTCCAGAAAGTTTTACAATACCATAATAAGATGAAGTAGTAATTAATTTAGACGAATTCAAATTTGAACCTCAAATAAAATAAAAGAGCTGGCAAACTCAATTGTTAGAAGCCTAATAACAATAATAACCAATTTATCATTAAATTTATGGTTACTGCTAAGAATAGTTTAAATTTGATTCAATTATGGAAAGATTATAACTTTTAAGAAAATCTCTATTTAAAAAGAAAATGCCTAATGGTGATATCCAAAAAATAGAAGAATTCATTCCATTTTATACTCTTAGAAGAATGGCTATGCAATTACCAACAGATGCCTCTGAAATGAATACTATGTTACAAGATCACTTTGTAACAGAGGCTTTCTTAAAAGAAATAAGATACTTTTTAAAATAAGTATTAATTATTAATTAAATTTAGTAAAATATAGACAAGAGTTTAATATTTTATCATCCAAAAATGTATGAATAAAATGATGATTAATTAGAATAATTGTTAGCTGAATTTGTTGAATTAGATAAATAAAGATCAAGTGGTTTAGAGGAAGAAATCAAAGTCCTTATTCCTTCATAATAATTTAAAATATGATTTTAAATATAATTAATAATAGTTTCATTCTTATTTAAATTAATTATTTATTTATTTATAAATTGTCAGCGTCTACTGCAATTAATTGTTTCTAGTCTTAATATCTTCTATTTATTTCAAAAGACTCTAACATAATAGTGTATTATCATCTAGTACTACAGTTTATTGTTTTATTTATGAACTAACATCTACTTAAGATAATTAATTTTCTTTAAGTTTTCCAATACGTCCCTCATGTTTAAATAGTTTTAGAATTACTTTTGCTGAAGAGAATTTAATATTATTCTTCTTTGCAGCTTCTTTTATTGATAATCCTTCAACTAAAATATCCACTAGGAGTGATATTCTCTAGTCAGTATTAATACATTAATATTTCCTATTCATAAGGCCAACGTTATTTTAATTCATTATTTTAAATATTATGATTATTTTAAGTGTGATTCACCATATTATATTATTTTATTTATTGGGGGATTCATTAATTCTTTTCTTTATTTTTAATGATATATGTAAGGTAATACTAAGATTTGTAAATATAAATATTGATTGAAAAAATGATAATATATCTAAATTGTTGAAGGATTCTTTTTCCTATAGTTATTAATCTTGTAAAACCAAAATATCATTAAAAAATTCAACATTAAATGTATAACATGGATAATTGCTAAATTGGACTACTTTATGATTTTACTAATATATAATAAAATCAATATTTACAGAAATCTAAATTAAGGAATGAGATTGATCATTCTCTATTCAGTTTTTCATTAAACTTATTTTAACCATATTTACAACATGAATAATAATTAGCTCAGTATAATATACTTTTTTACAAGAAATCCAATCCTTTATATCTTAAAATTGTTTTAAATCTCTATCTTTATTAAAAAAGAGAGCATTCAAAAATAGATACATAAAGTATATTGTTCTAGAAAAATTAGATTTCGAACAAACCCTAATTTGTAATTAAAATTAATTAAAATACAAAAATTAATATATCAAATAATAATAATTATTAAACTTACATATATTTATCTTTTTTAATCACCTTTATTCTAATTCTTGCTTATTAACTTTTAAGAAGATTTTCTAAAATATAATTAGCAAGAAATAATATTATATAGAAATGAAAATTTTTAAATGAATTAATATTATTTGATTGAATCGTTCAATATTTTTCATTAAAAATAAAAGGTTCTATGCAATTATGTTTAGTAATTTTATGAATAAATATAAGATATATTTTTTCATTATGGCTCTTGTTACATGGCATCAGGAGATGGATTTATCATTCTGAATAATTAGTTTACAGGAATTTGATTATTTATATCAAAGTATGAATCAGGCTCGAATTCTATTGTTGGTTCTTATGCTACTTGAATTGATCTTCTTGTATTTTTTGGAGCCTAGTTTAAGATTTTAAATTTTCAAACTTAATGTATTATTTATGTTTGTTATTATTGTGACCATGTGAACATTTCTTTCTTTTATTGTATTTAATTTTTCTTTTATTCTTCTTATCTTTTCTTAAAATCCTCATATTCTTAATAATCATCTTCTGGTTTCAAAGTGATAGTTGTTGGTTTTCGTATAATCATTAAATTTAAATAATGAAATTTCAATTTTCATCAATGAGTATTGCTTAATTTTAAGACAGATAACGAATAGGATGGAGTAGAACTAGAAAATGGATGTTTTATGCTGGTTTAATTCTTATTGGAGTGGAAATATAAGGAAACTATTGGAACACTGATATTCTATATACATTCAACTAAACTCCTTAAAATTTAGAAATCATATAAAAATGTCCAACTTTAAGATAAGTAGGAATTACAATATTATATTAAGGGTGTTTATAAGCCAACAATATATTTATAAACAGCTTTCTTATAGAGTTTATATGGAAGTAAATTTGATCCAGTGCCATATGTACCAATGACTCGTGTAGAAGTACCTGTAGAGAATGGATTAATTACAATTGATTCTTTGCCTGTTAATTAAAAGTTTCTAAGATCTGATAAAAGTGAGAACCCAAAATAAAAAACTTTAATTATATTGCATGGATTGACTGGAGCTAGTGAATGTAATTATATTAGACATACAGTATTACATGCAAATCGTAAAGGATTTAGAGTTTATTGTATAAATATGAGAGGGTATGCAAATTCAAGAATGATATCTGCATAGACTACTGATTATTCTAAATTAGATGATTTATTAGCTGGAGTAAATTATATAAAATCCTAAAACCCAGATGCTCCACTCTATATGCTAGGGTTTTCTATAGGTTCTTTGTAATTAGTGAAATTTCTTGCAAAATATAAGGATATTGTAAAAGGTGCAGTAGCAATCAGTTGCCCTTGGGATATTTAAACTTTAGCTTAAGAAGTAAAGAAACCCACTAAATTTATTTATAATATGGCTATTACAAGAAATTTTATTCGTAATATGAAATGGAATCTAGATGTATATAAAATGTCAGGCATTGATGTAGGTATATTGATTAGATAATTTTTATAATTTAGATTAGGCTTAGAAATGTTATAGAACTGAAGACTTTGATGAATTAGTGACTAAAAGAGTGTTGGGTTATGAAAACATCTAAGATTTATATAAGAAAATAAATTGTGTCAAAGAAATTTAATAGATTGAAGTTCCTACTTTATTTATATCATCTATGGATGATCCAGTTATATAATAAACATTAATTCCAAAAGATGAAATTCTAAATAACAAAAATATCATTTTAGCTTTAACAAAAAAGGGAGGTCATATTGAATGGTTTACTGGATTTAAAGCTGTTAGAGTAATGATATTGTAATTTATTTTAGTGGATTAATAAACCAGTTATAGAATTTTTAAATTGTTTAGATAGTGTAAATAATAAAAATATTAGTCATTATTGATAATCATTCAAAATTTAAATGCTTTTTACTTCCTAAATTATTTCTTCTTATTGATTGCTTTCTAAATATGCCATATCATTAATATTATCCTCATCTTATGGTTTAGAACTAAAAATATCCTCCTCATTCACCTCTTAAATCTCATTCTATTATTGATATTTTGAAGTTAATTTATCTTGAGGATTACTACTAATAATTTCAAACTATTTATCTTCTTCATCAGCAGGGAAAAATTGATTAATTATGACTTCTTCATTTAGATTTAAATTGTCAATGACCTATTAATTACTCTATTACTCATTTAGATCTCTTATAAAGCTATCCTATTATTAGACTTCATTTGAATTTTTATGATGTGATTATCTTTAAAAAGGATTTGTTATGAAATCTATTGATACTCTCATACCTTATGAATTTTATAAACTATTATTATCTGTTTCATTATTATTTGAAATTGTATTTTAAAATATCTTAAATTAAACAAATTAAAATACTTCTAATAAAAAATAAGATATTATCTATTAATTCCAATTAAAATTCATGGCCTATATAAATTTTATTATATCATCTCTTCCAACTTTTTTGTATTTGTATTGAATCCAATACTATCTTGCACGATCTTTTTAAGATTAAAGAGACTATACGCTACTTATTGGAATACCTTATTGATTAATTATTGTGCCTATTATTCATCCAAACCTTCTAAGGAATGATAACTTAATTAAGTAATAAATTATTAATATAATTTCTATGTTCCTGTTAGTTTATCTATGACTTATTATGATTCAGTTTCAGTTAATTAAAATGGTTCTCTATTTTATTTAAAATCAATATACTTACTATTACAACTGCATACTAAACTCTAGTTTATTTTTTGCCTTTTTTAACCCATCAATTGCATCATTATATTAATTCATTGTGACTCTTTTCTAATGTAATTTAAATAAAATAAGATCTTTTGGGAATTTGATAGATGTATCTTTTATTTATGTATTACTATTATTTCCTTTGATGGATTAATAAAGTAATAATAAATTATCATATTTTTATTAAATTGATTATTATTTTTAAAGTAGTTATTATTATTTAATAGATTGATTATTTAATTGAATTTTCATTTCTTTTATTGTTTATTCTCTTTTTTTAATAATCTCAAGTTAATTATTATTTTATTATTATAATTAAAAAAGTTATTCATGAAAAATATCTAATTGTGATTCTAATTGTTATTCTTATTCTAATTTGGATTTTTGGTATTAAATTTAATCTTAGGCTATTTATAACATATGCTTCATCATAAGATTTTATTCAAAATAAACTTTTTTTTCAATCTATAATAAATTATACCATCATTACCTCTAATTCTTATAATTTACATACTTTACTATTTCTCTTTAAAAGTTCCAACTCTTTTATTTTATCTTCTAATTCTTAGCTTTTATCTTTCATTTACTTACGTAATGAGATAATTTGTAAATCTTAATTGTTAGATTTCTTTTGAGTAGTTAAATCCTCTATTAAGTTCTCATATTTTAAGAATTCTCTCTTAATAATAGACAATACAACTTACTTCATTATGTTATACTTTGGTTCTTAGTTTAGTGTTCTCATCTTTAAGATTGTTGACTTATTATTTCGATTGTTATAGATCTTAATACAATTATTCATAAGAATTTGTACGCTTAGACTCATCATGAGTCAAAAATGATAACATGTTCTTCTAACTGATAGGAATAATAAAAGAGGATATTACCTTAATGGCATAGATGTAGAGACTTAAGAAATATCAAAATTTTATGGGTTTCTTTTACTACTATTATTTAATTTACCTAATCCAGATGTTTACAATTTGAGAATTCTAAATGATTGATTTTTATTAAGTTCTTCAATAGTATTTATAGTTTATTTTGATTTACGATTATCAGAAGTATATGATTAATATTCATTCATTATTTTTATGTCTATTTATGAATTTTTGATTTTTCAATAAATAAATAATCTAAAACTTATAATAGTAAATGAAATATTAAAATAAATTAATTCTTTTTTTTAATTTCTTAACGTACTTGTACATTCTATTTAGTGTTGAAATATTTATATTATTCTCTAATATATTATTTATAATAATAGAACAATACAATTCTTTATTCATTAAATAGGTTAGATATTATATTTAATTGCTTTTGTCATGAATAAGTTTTATATTTATATGTAAAAATATTATGATAATAAGACTTAATAGATATAATGAACTATACAATAGAAGTATTTTTATATTATATAATTGATCAATATAAAAAATAATGTAATATTAGATTTAAATCATTGACATATAGTCCTATGAAAATAAATAGTATTACAATGTCAGAATTACAAATAACTATTATACTTGTTATCGTGATGTGAGAGTACGCTTTTAGGATCTTTAATAATTGTCTCGAAACCTTTAGGCTGATAATTATCAACTTCATGTAAGAGATTTAAAAATATAAAATAATAGTT